GCTGTTTTATAGATTTTCATGTAAATTATTCTTGTATTATTTTATGTTGTATCTGTTGCAAAGGTTTTAAATATTTGTGAACAAGCCTGTATGGTGAAATGTAATATTGGTAACTTGCTGAGTTTTGTAACAATGTTTATGGAGTACATATACAAATTAAAAGAAGATTTTGAATGCTTGAATCTTTTTGAATGTTGTTACAGTTCTTCCATCGCTTTACTCTGTTAATGCATAGATTAAATGTGAACACAGTAGCTGATGCCATTGCTTTTCCTAGTGCATTTAAGTATATTTATAAACTTGTTATATCCACACTTACCGTACATTTAATGTGGCATATTCATGTGCTCTCTCTCTCTCTCTCTAAAAGCAATGCATGCCTGAATGGTAAATATGACATGATTTAAGGTTTAATGAAATGTTTACCTATTTCAACTGTCATCATTATCATGGTATGTTCTGGTTGAGAGTATTAATGACTTCCAGTGACCGAAACTGGTTGTTGTGTTCAGTTTTTAATCCCATTATGTTCTTGGTTATTTTATATTTGCATTTTGTTACTGCAACAGCTGCTGGATTCAGTTAGACCAACAGAGGCCTTTATTACTGGACAGCTTAGTCTCGTTGCTTTATTGGTATATCCTTCCAAATATTGTTTTTCTTCATAGCCTGATTTATACGGGAGACCATGGTTGTTGTTGTTTTTTTTTAAAGGTCTATATCTCAGTAACCTCAGTAAAAAAAGTCCAGTTACACCAAATGCGTGTTTGCTCTAACACAAAAAGTGTCTTAAATCAGAATATTGTGATATTTTTGTAATATCTGTTGGATAACGTTTGTTCAAATAAAAAGTACAAAAGCTGTCATTGGGGCAGTACCTTTTCAAAAGGTACACATTTGAACCTAAAGAGCGGATAAAGGTACATATTAATAAAAGGTACCACCCCAGTGACAGCTTTTGTACCTTTATTTCTGAGAGTGAATGGAATGTATGTGCTTTCTCTAATAGCCTATGACTGGTGCATTTGTTGGATTTTTTTTTTTTATAGTCAAGGTAGAACGCTTTTTAATTTAGATTATAATGGACAGATTTTAGCATTGCACATATGGTGTGTTAAAGTAAAGCTATTTCAGAACTGTAGTGGACTGTTATTATTATTATTATTATTTTTCACTTCCCCACATGTTGAATAGATGTCAGTCAAATCTTCAAAGAGCTTCAAACTAGAACTCAGAATTGATCAGGTAACCGTTAATTAACAGTAATGCTCTGCATCACATTTATTCACATATTTATCATCATAGATCAGTCAGGACGAATGAATGTCACCATAGAGTGAGAAACACTCTTCTGTCAGTGTGTCAACAGGATGAGCTTTGTTTAATGTTTTTTCTTTTGAAACTTTTATTCATTTTTGTTTGAGTTTCATACATTTTCCACATTTATTGCATTTGCTGTATTGTGAACAAATGCTTAAAATAATATTTGAGTTGTTTGTGCCGCACTGAGCTAGCACCTATATGTTCTGAGCATCAGCCAGCGGTTTATGAGGACAGCGTCAGAGTTCAGAGCTCGGCGTTCATCTCAGGGGGAGTAAGTCAATCACATTAGCAGGTGCTTCATTAAGCTCTCCGAATGAAACAAGCGTTTACTTTAAATACCTGTTCATTTACATCAATTATCTTTTCAGCAAATTGATGAAGAGATGAACATCTTAAATCTGTTTTTGTCCATGGAGAAGTTTTAACATGCATTGACAAACATACTGCCTCTAACTTTCCTGCACAATGTTTTGAACCATTAGTTTGATTGGACACACAGCCAATGACACTAACAACAAAAGATGCGGTAAGTGGTTAGCGTTCCTTTATGTGTTAAAGTAAAGAAATGAGCATGATTAAAGAACAACTAACATCTCCAAATAGTCTTTCTTCTTACTGTCAGAATAAGGGCACTGACATGCAGGCACTCATGCTTGGACTATTTTGGCCTGAATTTCAAATTAATTTACAGTCATAAAATTGTCTGATGAAACAACTACACTAAACGTTTGTTCTAAGATCCAAAGAACAAACAGAAACAAAAAGTAAGCTTTCATGAGACATTAGATTGGTCATTTATAAATTAATATTTTGGACTCTTACAAAGATATTATTATTATTTAAAATGTATTCTATAGTGGTTAATATTAAATGATGACCCAAAAATGACAATTCTGACATTATTTACATCAAAACCTGTATGACTTTCTTTCTCCTGTGGAAGACAACATAAGATGTTTTGAAAGTCCACACTGTAAAAAATTGCCAGGAATTTACGCGATTAAAGAGTATTAGGCTATTTTTACTCTAGTCAGACATTTACTGTGAAATCAATGCATGCTGGGTCATTTTCTTTCAAATGACTGTGAATGAACAGCAGAATGAAGCTAACATCACAGTAACTTACTGCTCTTGTTTTACTGTGAACTCTCATTATAAAGTTGTCTTTAACTGTGCCACTGTCAGAAATGTACTTGTTTACTACTGTAATTGTTTTGAAGTCACCATAATAGTGATTGGTGATCCCATTTGTTTGGGATCTTGTATATTCATTTTCAAATTTCTGATCTAGTCATGTCAGAAGTGTGACAAATTAAAACATTTTTCTAGATGGTGACTAGCTAGAATATGAAATAAGCTAGGTGCCTATAAGTAAGTTGAACTATTCTTAGCATGAACATGAAGATTTTATTTTAGAACTATTTAAACATGAAGATTAGTAAACAACTTATTTCATATTCATAACAGTTTGTAGGATGGATCAACTGCTGAGATACGTCACTGAAAGATGTGACATCAATACACAACAATGGTAACACTCAACAAATAAAAACAACACTTACAACATAAACCCATTATTACTAAATAAACAACACAAACGGCTGAAAGAAAACAAAAAACAAGTTCGATATCACAAATAAAACCAACAAGAATAATAAAAAAAACCTCTAGAGGATGATCTATTCATGCTGCATTGCATGCTGGGTGCCTTAAGAGTACATGCACTGTAGAAACACAGTATGATGCTGTGCAGTTAGATACAAGAAAAGTCCTACTGTGACATTCTGTGAAAGTAATGCAGTTATTATCCTGGAATATACTGTAATTTCACACTCAAATTTTTAACAGTGTCAAGCATCTTTGGGCACTACTGACTTTCACCGTATGGAAAATACTGTGTTTTGTGTTACACGGGGAAAAGAAATCCATACAGGTTTGGAACAAATTGGAGAAAATGGTTGATCCAAGAATTATGTGTTCAGTTTTAGGAGAAGAGAGTGTATGAAACAAGATATAACTAGGACAGGAAGTGAAAAGCAGGTTTGGGATTTGTGGGTAAAGCACCTCCCTTTTTTTCAAGAGCTACTGTTTCTCTTATTTTCTTTCTATATAAAATTCATAAAGAAAAATAATACTTGTACTTATCAAATTACATTAATACTGGAAGTGGGGTGGATGAAGTAGTGTTTAATCTCAAGTCTAATGGCATGAAAAGCGAATTAGTATGATACCACCTCTTCCAAACACCTACTACATACAGTACATGAGAAACAGATGATAGAGATATTGGAATATATATGATATATTCCATATATCATATATACATATATATTTATTGTTATAGTATTGCTCTAAGCTTTTATTTTACAGAATAACCAGCTAACCTGCATGACAACCAAGCGGACTTCAACAGGCTTTGTCCGGGGCCCTGTGATGAGAGCGGCCTCTGTGGTTTAGACTATTAATTGAGCCAGGAGATGGGCCCTGAGAAATGTAGCATTGGCCCTGCTTCATTGGTAGATCTTTCAACATTTCTTAGAGGCGTCTAAATACCATGATCTAACCACTGGAGTACCACAAGGTTCAGTACTTGGCCCCTTCCTCTTCTGAATATCTTCATTGTGCCCACTGATACAGGCACATGGCCCATCTAATCAGACAATCTCACAATCCCAATGTTCTTTCTGCTTGCTTTTCAGACATTCAACCAAGGACTGCCACCAACTTGACCTATTGTTGTCAAAACATGTGGGGCCTCATTTATAAAATGCTGCGCAGAAACCATCCTAAATTTGATCTTACGATCATCTCTCAAATATGCGTACGTGTGATTTATAGAATAAACGTATACGCACAGAAAACACTCGTACGTGTCTCTTTCAGATGTGAAATCTATGAATCGTAAATGATCTTGAACTTGCGTGCAACTAAATGGTTTCAGCTCTCTGCCTTGTAAACGACTCCTAATTAATGTCATTAACATGTAAAAGATCACCAGTCATCATCCAAATCCTTTAATTTAGAACAGCGAGCTGCAAGAACAGCTTACATTTCCAAAAACCTGCAGTACTCCGACAGGAAAAAGTATGTATGTCTGCTCAGGCCCTGACATGATGCTAAGCACTTTTTACAGTGCTAAAGCAGTTTTTACAAATATGAGCGTTGGCGTGGATTCAAGCGTACGCACACGTTATAAATGAGGCCCATGATCGCACCAGACCCATCAGTCAAGCACAACATCAGTGTGCATCTGGACAGTAACACCAGCTAGATCAGCCAGGGATTTGTTTAACAGCATCTTATTGACAGATTTGAATATTTTTGTATGCTAGATTGTTTGTTTTTCTAGATCTACTTCTGAAATGTATTAAGCCACTGCTAATCTTTAATTGAATGCGTTTGTATTTCTCTTTGTTGGTAAATTAAAAATTGTTTCACATGTGGACTTTGAACATGGATGCTTCCAAAAGTCACCATGACTTCCAATGATGACATCTGACAATCAGGTACTGGATTTATTAATAATAATAATGAATGTATTTTTGTGTAATATTTATGGGGTAAGAATGCACCAAATATGTCACAATTTAAATATACCAATATTCTCTGTAAAGCCTGTCACATAATATATCCTACCTGTTAAACGCGACTGATAAGACTTTTAAGTTGTATTACAGTTCCGCACACCGGATGTAGATTCGACGCTGAAGAGACGCTTGAGAAAATGAACTCCTGAATAGCTGTCAAGATTAACATTTACAAACATCTACGGGGCAGATACGGAACAGTGACTAGATAAGGCTTCGACACATTTATTAAGGTATTCTTCCGCGTTTTTCCTCATTTCGCGAGTCAGTTGTTACGATCGTCGAAATGACGGAGAGCTCGCTGACTGCTGGCTGTTTTTATCTCATGGCCGTGCTAACGTTAGCTTCGCCTTAGCTTAGCATGAACAAGATAGCTGTTCTCCTAGGCTGTGCGAGCGAGCTTAAACCCAGTTTGTGCTCATGCTACAGCTAGCATTAGCTTTACCTTTTTCCTCAGTTCATGGTTGCGAGAGGTTTGTCGTCACACATTGCGAAATACACCGTTGATATAATATTGGTCATATTGCTTTGGTGTTTTAGCAGCACGTTTATGATCTGACTTACATTGGCAATTCATTTACTGTGTTAATTGTATGTGGCATCAAGGACACACGTAAAGGTTGCTTTCCTTGAAATTCGTGAGCTTTAGCCTTTAGCTTGTTTAGCTAGCTCGCTGATGCCATTTTGTTTTCAGTCTCTGGTTGCAGTCAGTTAATTATATTTGAACAGATTTGAGAGATCACAGTCCAACTCTTAACATTACGTTACTCTTTAATGGCTTCAAAAGATTATTGCAGTCAACGAGCGCTTTCAAGTTTTAACCATTTTCATTAGCTTCAGGTAACAGTAAAAACACACACCTAATACACATACAGGAACTGTGTGGCCATATCATGCCAATATTATTATTTGATAGTGATGGTATCATATAGCTAGTAATGGATGATTGCTATTTTTATTAATTATAGATACATGTACAGCTGAACACAGTGGTTTGTGGTCAGTGTACCTGTGTGTGTTTGGTCTGATTGACACTAACCTGTTGTTTCTGCTTTTGTGTGTAGTTGGATCTGACAGCTGGTCGCAGTGATGGAGGCTCAGGATAATGCAGATCAGGGCAGCAGCGATCAATCTGAAGCACAACGCAGAAGACAGCTGGACCGGCTGGACAGAGAAGAGGCCTTCTACCAGTTCGTCAACAATCTCAGCGAAGAAGACTATCGGCTCATGAGAGACAACAATCTGCTTGGCACCCCTGGTAAATCCTTTGATTTTAAATATCAAGATTATAAACCTAAATGTGCTTTACAGAGGCATTTTGGTCATTGCATGTGGTGTAACAGAGCAGTGTTTTGGTTTAAGTGGTATTGGGTCGTATAAAGGATAAACATACTTGAGTGAAGCTGAAGTTATAGTTGCTGCTGGGTTTCAGTCAAAAAGTAACACGACTGCGCTTGATATGAGGCGCTTATTAGAGCAAATATTCAAGCTACATGTGATGCCTGCAAAATGATCACAGACTTATTCTCGATGTTTTGGATTTCAGGCGTTAGGTGTTCTTTTATTCTGTAGCTCTAAATATCCCTTTTGGGTATCAGAAGGATGAATAAAATCCACAGACTTTGATAAATGAAAGTTATCTTTTTTTTTTTCAGTCTCTCTCTATTGTGGAAGATAAGAGAGATTTCACAGAATTTCTGTGCTGCTCTTTTCCATACAGTGAAAGAGATTGACTCCTTAAATGACAAAAAAAAAGAACAACAGAAGTAGTCCATACTACTCAGTCCACAGTGTGTGCCGTTACAAGTCTTCAAAGGCCGTACAATAGCTAGGTGCGAGGAACAGACCCAAGTTCATCACATTTATTGTACAAATCTACCCTTACCTAAATGCACCTAAATTAATTGTTTACTGAAACGACAAAAGCTTTCATTTAGCCAAAACTGAACGTTATTTAAAGTCCGCAGTAAATCAAAATTTACAATATTTAATTTGTTACTGCACATTGTTAGTCTTTTGTTAAATTTGTTACATTGCACATACAGCAGTTTTTATATCAACTTTTTAATGATATAATTATTTTTCTCCAATTTGTTGTTAAATATAAACATTCAAACAGTGGCTGTCATAAATAGGGATGGCTACTGAAACCCAGTATTAAATCGGTCCCGGTGCTAAATTATGAAAGACCGGAGTATCGATAAGCTCTGACGTTAACGGTTCTGCTGTCGGTACTGGAGAAATTAATAAAATACACATATTCTTGCTATAAATACATTGTCTTGCAAATTCTATCTCGCCAGAGTTGCCAGCGGTTTTTATATGCAATAATATTCAAACATTTGTCTATGATGCATTTTTGCTATTCGCAATTCAGAAGCGAGATCGCGCCCACGTGGAGGAGCTTCAGCACGCGCAACATGAAAGCCCTGTTTAACTGTGATGATAGAGGAGAGAACTAAACATTCAAACATCTGCTTACACTTAGGCCTGTGCTGTTATATTAAGCTAATTTTTATTTAAATTTTTCAACATGAAAGCCCTGTTTAACTGTGATGATAGAGGAGAGAACTAAACATTCAAACATCTGCTTACACTTAGGCCTGTGCTGTTATATTAAGCTAATTTTTATTTAAATTTTTTTCGATTTTGGCTTCTGAGGAGTATAGCCACATTTCTTCTAGCGCAACTTCGTTCTCTTCACAGCGGTGCGCATACGTTCCTCCCTAAAACCCAAACTTAACGTCGGAATCAGCTCAGTCGGTGGTTGTTGTAAAATGCCGTCTTTACTGTTGCTAAATTGCGGGACATGTTTGATAATAAAACGTTGAAAGCACAATCCGCACAAGAGACGCTGTTCCTCAGGCTGAAATGTGTGTGCAGCGCTCCAAAACGGACAAACAAATTACACTTTGAGCTTCGGGACACTTTGAGCTTCGGGTGCACGTCCAAACGATCAAATACACACAAAATATGTCAAAATGGCCGGCTCGGAGAGTATTCACTTAAACACAATTTATGTCTTAATTGGATGAGAAATTCCTTTGTTTTATTGTATTTGTCAGTTTGTTTGTTCATGTTCTTACTGTATCTTATCTTATGTATATAATACACTAAAAATGCCTGCACACTGGTGCATTTACAAATTTACGTTTTATATTCTTTTAATTAAATATGTATTTTACATTTCAGAATATAAAGCAATGCTAATTCAGCTCTTAATTTGTCATATATATATATATATATATATATATATATATATATATATATATATATATATATATATATATATATATATATATATATATATATATATATATATATATATATATATATATATATATATATATATATATATATATATATATATATATATATAACAAAAGTAAAGATAAGGATAAGAATACCGTTAAAGTGCCGAACCGATAAGCAGTATCGGTAAGAGTAGTAATACCGTTAAAATCTTAACGATACCCATCCCTAGTCATAAAACAGATTTTCATGACGGATTTAATCAAACATACATATACACAATAGCCTAATCATTATATTTAGCAAAATGCTCCTCTCTAGACGTTTTTAGAAGCTATGGACATTGAATGGCTTTATTAAGGTATGTGTACATTTATGTGACTAATTAGCTGATGAGCGATTACACGAGACATGATACATTTCAGTTAGTTGTACTGTATTTTTCAACACCTTCTGATGTTTGTTCGTTTATTTTGTGTTATAACTAGTAGTAAACTGGAAGAGAGGATCATTTCACATGCCACTACAGCAATCTGTCACCCCATTAAATAGCATAAAAAGACAATTATTATTTGAATTTCATCATAAAATTGACAGAATTTGAATGCTGAGACTATTTTTATCAAAATCTTTTCCACATTGTGTGCATGAAATGGATTTCTTAAACTTTGCTGTTTTGGTCAAATATTTTCGGCAGCAAATGATTGTTTGTTTATTTTATTTGTTCAATTTTGAGAACGCAAGTGAACGCAAGCTACAATAAAAATTGAGAGATACATGTGTGCTTTGACACATGCGTGTACGTTTTAAGCTCCAGAACAAGTTCATCCCTTTGTTTTGATTTAGAAATTGTGAAACCATGGGTCTTTCGATTCCAATTTAGGTTTGCATTTTATTTGAAAGGTTTGCCTTTTGTATCTGTGCTCAGAGACTATTAAACAAACATAACACAAACTTATGAAGACACCCAATCCTTTTATGTCCCAGGACAGTGGAAGGGAATGTTATTTTGGAGCGTCCTTTAGCCATGTGCTCTGCCAGGAGATGGCATTCAATGGACATTTCTTGTCCTGGTAATTCTGGAGGTTTTCAGTACTGTTCTGTTGCTGTTTAATGAGGAGTCTTTCTGGACAGCTACTGCATAAAGACTTCATAAAGTTTGAAAACTCACATCTGATGGTGAAATTCTGCATATCCAACTTCGTCAGAAGAAATTAGACTATTGGAAAGCACCTTGGATATGTTATCAAAAAAATGCATGTGTCATGTCATTTGAAACGTCTTGATTTTGTAAACTGTTAAACACTTTGCCCCTTTTTACACTTGGCATTAACGTAAAATCTCACTTGACCACATTTTAAATGGCAGATGTAAATGCACCCAAACGCATTATGAACGGACCGTGATCAGATCACTGAAGCCACATAAAATTGCTGCAAATAGCCATGTCACTTTTTATGAATTGAACCAATAAAGCATAGTTTTGTGGGTTCTTGGCTTTTTCTTTTTATTCTGCACTCACAATGTGAAAACAACAATATCTATTTATTTACCATATAATTATTTTGCTGGATTACATCTGGATCTTGTTTCTATTATTTCTCTTCCCAAAGCAACCACTTTAACTTTTTTCTCCCCTTTTCTTCACTCGTAATACACATTACTGTAACATTGTAGCAATATAAATTATCGAGAGGGGTTCGTAAAGAGAAGAAACCCAGTTCATCCAGTCAATGACAGTGACACCTCAAATATGCAAATAAAAACGTTGGTTTAGAAATGTACAGTGTGAAACGTCAGCTTATGAATATCCAGAAACATTTAGACAGCTCGTATTTATTGAAATGTGTTCTTGCAGTACTCATAGTTAAGCGGTATGACGTAATGTAATACTCCTTCATGAATAATTTAGCATTTTTCCTTTTGAAAGTCTTTTTGACAATTTTGATTTTGTTCAGTAATCTTAATATGTTCTTTGTAACACTACTATTTTTTTTTATTTTATTTTTTACTTACTATATTAAACGTTTTATGTTATACATATGTACTATTTCCAACCGGTTTCATTGTGTGTCAACATAGACATTCAACAGTTTACTGCAGTTGGATATGCAGTGTTTTGCTTTATTTGTTTTATGTGTAAAACGGTTAAATGTTTAACCATATCTCATTAATCAGGATGTTTTGTTGTACCAGCCATGCAATTATTAATAAAATAATTTGAGTCTTGTTGCTTTCATTCACATTTCACCCTATCAGCCACCATTGGTTGATAAGCTCAGTTTTCTTTACTGTGTTGACATTTCCTCTTGAAACAGCGAGTTTGACTGCAACTTTGTTTTAGACTTCGTCACACCAGTGAACTATGATTTTCAGGTTGATGTTGCTAGTCTGAGGTAGGTGGTATTAAAGGGAAATGATTCTAGAGAGCATTTTATTGGGTGAGCATTTGCAATTTCCCCTCAGTGAACCATTTTTTCAACCTTTATCTCTGAAGAACAAGACTGTACATTTTAAGTGTGCTTAGTTTCTGAAAGTTAATTTTGTTGATTATCTTTTAGAAGTGAACTGAATTTTAGATGACCTCAAACTAAAAGCCATAGAATTCTGATTTTAGGGAGTCTTTAAGAGAAGGTCGAACTGGAGAACCATTGAACATTTGCATGCATGTAATTGTCCGGATTTGACCACAATGATCAGTGGTCAGGGTTACTTTACATTCCTGCAAAATCCCCACTCTTTCTCTGGCTTCTCAATTCTAACCCATTTGTTTCTTGGTCAGGTGAAATTACGGCAGATGAACTGTTAAACCGCCTTCGGCAGGTCAAGGATGGCCCTGAGTCACCCAACAATGGCTCCACTGAGGAGAGAAGGGAAGGGCCTGCTGGTAAGTCAACTGTTTTTCTGTTTATACAGAATCCATACCATCCAGATGACTTTCCCTGTAATTCTGCCATTTTAATAATTTCTTAAATATTCTTGTCATTCTCAGCAACAGAGATGGAGGGCACTGAGGAAAACCCCAGTGGGGAGACCCTTCTTGACTGGCTCAACACCGTACGACAGACGGGGAATACAACGAGGAGCGGTAACCGGGGTAACCAATCATGGCGGGCCGTAAGCCAAACCAATCCCAACAGCGGTGATTTCCGTTTCAGCTTAGAGATCAATGTCAATCGCAACATAGCTGAGCAGCAAACGCAGACGGAAAGGCTGGAAGGGACCCAGGAGAGACCAGATGGCCCTGTGTCTGAGCCGGAGAGTCTTATGGAGACTGCAGAGGTGGTTGAGGAACCAGTGGTGGATGAGCTGGCAGTTATAGTAGAGCCAGAGCTTCCAGTTCCTATCACCCTGTCTCAAAACACGGAAGTAATTGCACCAAATCCACAATCTCCAGCTCCCCCAACTTTGCCCCCAGTAGAGCAACCACGTAGGGGTCAAATTAGGGCTCGCAGTAGAAGCCCAGAGCAGCGACGGACAAGGGCTCGCACTGCAAGAGGTCACTCGCCGCTCAACCTCGAAAGATTGGACGGACTTCCGCCTGCTCAGCACGACCTGCCTTCTCGCAATCCTGAGATCCTTCCAGAGCCCCAGGTCGAGGGAAGCTCGCGTACTCGGCAGTTGTTCCTGTCTAGGCAGAGCACAGTGGAAACGGAAACTCAAGAATCGGAAGCAGCTCCCGAGTTACCTGGAGCACCGGAGGAGAGGGAGGCAACTGCTGGGGAAGCAGGAGCCCCAGGTCGTCGTCCTCCAACCATAATGCTGGATTTGCAGGTACGCAGGGTGCGTCCCGGAGAGTACCGCCAGAGAGACAGCATCGCTAACCGTACCAGGTCTCGTTCGCAGCCCTCCAACAACACTTTACTCTATGAGACTGAGCGCGGGGGTTTCCGCCGGACCTTCTCCCGTTCGGAGCGGGCAGGAGTGAGAACGTATGTCAGCACTATCCGCATTCCCATTCGCAGGATCTCGGACACTGGACTCGGGGAAGCCACTTCTTTGGCTCTGCAGTCTATGATTCGTCAGATCATGACTGGTTTCGGTGAACTTAGCTACTTTATGGACTCAGACTATCCAGACTCGAACCGTGACGACAGCCCAGCTGCAGACCTCACTGATGGACTGGGTAACCCTGATGCTTCCACCGGTGCCGCTGCAGGTGAAGCGGACTCCTACCTTCCTGGGAATGGAGGCTCTAACCAGGGTCGTTTAGAGGCACGGACAGAGGAGAGGGAAGTGGATGATGGAGCGTCCGGTGCTAACAGTCCTCGGGAGAACCGAGGCAGACAGCGGGCGCCCATTAGCTTGGATGAAACTGGATCTCTGCCCTTTCTGCGACTCGCACACTTCTTCTTGCTCAACGAGGAAGATGACGACCAGCCCAGAGGTCTCACCAAAGAGCAGATCGACAACCTGTCCATGCGAACCTTCGGCGAGAACGATGCGCTCAAAACCTGCAGCGTCTGCATCACGGAGTACGCCGAAGGCAACAAATTACGGAAGCTGCCCTGCTCTCACGAATACCACGTGCACTGTATTGACCGCTGGCTTTCAGAGAACTCGACCTGCCCTATTTGCCGCAGGGCGGTTCTGGTTTCCACCAACCGAGAGAGTGTCGTCTAACCAAAGTTGGTTTTGTGGCACTTTGATATCACTTCCTTCCCTTTACATTTATTACCTAGTCATGTGAGAACTCGTATTGAGATTTTTTTTTTTCCCATGCATCCTATATGAAGCCATCAATAAGTTTTATCAGATTTGCTGGTTTCCCCCAATTTACACATCAGTGTATTTTGACCCATCTTACAATGGAATAAAATTGGTGCAAGGATGGAGCCCTGATCATTTACTTGTACTGAACATCAACATTCAGCAAAATTATAGGTTGAGGGGCAATGTAGAGTGGCACATACACTTTCATACTAAAAGAGAGATTTGAGTTGTACTTTTATGTGTTCCATATCAGATTATAACAAAGTTGGCGTTTTAATAAAAATGAATAATTTGAGGGTCAAGATTAGCATTAAGGATCAAGAAAAGTGTAATCTGCTCATGCGCAAATACATTTCAATTGGAAAATACATTGAAACTGCTGCATCTAACATGATTTTGGTTTCATACAGTGCTGGTTATGTGTTGGTATGAAAGCATAGTGTGTGATGTACCAGTTGCACCGTTATCATAAATGGCTAAATACAGACAAATAGTAGTAAATTAAACAGTAGTTCTGAGTGAATTCGTCACCCTGTATAGAATAGACTTTGATTTGGTTTATGAAGGTGTTCAGTAATACTGGTTTTGAAAAACATTTGGCCAGACACTTTTTACAGTTACAAACACAAAAGGCTGTAAATATGCTACATGGACGCATCAGGTTGTATTTCTGCCCGTCTTCCCAAATGATGATGATGATGCATCAGTTGGCTGACTCAAATCTACTCTATCTTAATAAAAAACTTGGCTACGTATAGGCAATGTCGTGCAATGCTAATAAGGAAAATGTAAAGGACGTTTTGACATATTGACTTGTATGTTGTAGTCTGTAAATATTAACGTTTAAAATGAAGACTTAAATGGAAGTTTTTCTAACAGTTCTGTACATTGAGAATAGCATCGTTTATCTTACTCTGAGGAGGAAATTATTTTTCTCATTATGTAATGGTTGGTTCATATGGGAGCTAAGGTCCTTTAGTCCCATGCTAGAAAAACAAATGCAGTGTTATTTAGAAACAATAGATGAAATATCTATCTATATTGTTTCTGTTGACTTGGGATACTAACCCTAAGCATAATGTGCTCCACCATGAGTTACGTCAACATTTCATGTATCATAAGCAAGCCAACCATTGTTAAAAATGCATATTCTTATGTTCTGAGGTCATGTATTATAAGAGCGAGTTACTCGATAGAATTTCGTAATTTTGTCAGCATCATATTTATAGCTTATATTTTGAGTCATCTTTTGACTTAGCTTCCAGTTTGCTGTGTTTAAAATGAATAAAATTATTTCCTCACTTGACCGTTTCTCTGTGGCCTCGCCACCACGTTGAGTGCTGCTGTGGAATAATTGAGCTTACAGTGAACCTCACAGCCTACTGCTATAAGCCAGTCTAATTTAGCAATACATACCACATAATATGCTGTGAAAGTTTTGTTTTTTTTGGGGGGGGTTCTGCACATTCTGGTTCAAGGTTTGTATTGAGCAATAATATTGGTTTTCCACAAATGTTCAGCATTATTTTGAATTCTATTTGGATTCTTCAGGTGACATTTGCTTGTATCACACCAGTGCTTACGGCACACAGACGTTGCACACTTTCTGCTTTCTGCTCGGATGAGAGACAACTACTAAATATTGATCAGTCTGTTCTGGCTTCATCAAGCCATAATGTTATTTGTATATTACAATAAAAAAAACATGTACAGCAACGTGACTGCGATAGTTTGTTTTGAAAAAACAAACAAGTTTGCATATTTGCGTATTCTATTATATTTTTGTTTTTTAATAGTACTGCTTACAGTTTTTGCAAACACTAATATAAGTACGGTAAATATATGGTAAACATATTGTAAACAGAAACCTAAGATGATTTGTTCATTGAACTAAATCATCTGTTCAAATTGACAATATGGGTGTATCACGATTTCAAAATGCAACTTGCACGTGACTCTTATTCCATCACAATGATCTGCCAATTGAAAAGACTGCTCAAAATAAGTAACTGTTGTATTAATCTTAATGCATGGTTTTATGGAAACTGGTGAACAATATTATATATTTAGATCATGAAACTTTGAGGATAAGATCCATTGACACCAGATCCCATGAACATGAACTAACTGGACTACATTATCCGTGGATGTGATATTTCATCATCAGTGTTCATCACACAGTCTCTATGGTCCTAAATAACACTTTTCCAGACCAAATTTTCAAATCTGATATCACTTTATGTATTCAGGTCCTTGTAATGAGAAGCTGTAACCAAGTCCACAAGTGTTGATGGAAATATAAAGTAACTGATATATATATATATATATATATATATATATATATATATATATATACATACAGTCAAACCAAAATGTATTCAGACACCTTCAACATTTCTCACATTATCAGAGTTGATTCGCTATAGTTTAGAAAATGGTAATAAAATATGACAAGAGCTCAGAGTTACACTGTGTCAGAACAAATTAATCTTGATAATGTCAGATAACTTTGATAGAAAGGTATGTAATGAATTCAGCTGTTAAATTTAAGTACACAATTAGATAATACCAATTTAGCTCAACCAATTACCAAGCAATGCTTCTTTTTGTTCAGTATTCGGTGTAAAAAGATCGCATTAGCAATTAAAGAACAAACACTTCAGCAAAACATACTCAGATCAAAGTGTCTGGATAATTTTTGATCCCAAATTTTGATCAGTTTTACCTGTAGTCCACTGTATGAAGAATGTTTAGGTATAATATGTCACAGTTCACTTTATTTTGCTATCCTCACTTACATAAATGAACTATAGTGTCCTGCACCCACTAGTACAATAAAATAACACAAATTGTATCTCTCTCTATATATATATATATATTGACTGTATATATCATGATATATATATATACTGTACGCTAGGTGAGGAACTAGTTACTGTATTGTTTTCTCTATTTTGTTCCTCACTTACATGAACTATAGTGTCCTGCACCCACTAGTACAATAAAATAACACAAATTGTATCTCTCTATATATATATATATATTGACTGTATATATCATGATATATATATATACTGTACGCTAGGTGAGGAACTAGTTACTGTATTGTTTTCTCTATTTTGTAGCTCTTCTTCCCTTTGATGTAAGAATTAAATCTACTGGTTACTTGTAGCCACTCAAGCGGCAGTGATTGGTTCATCCTGAGCAGCGCTGAGAAAAGTAACGGTGTTCACGGTACACCGTCAAAACGCTACTCAGTAGCTGGATGCTCATTTACAGTAGCCTAACGACACCGATAAACTTTGACAGACTGCAAATTAAAAGTACATTGATTTTAAACAAGATAATTATCATTTAGACTGCCCTTTTCAGTACACGCTTTCTAATAGTTTATTCTCTTTCTGTGATACGTGGCTCTTGATGGCGGGTGTAATAGAGTGATTACGGCAGCTGACTAGCGCTTATCATTCTCCAGTTAGACTTGTTTCTGTGATTCTGTGAGCTCAGACAGGTTAGTACAGGTGATAGCATGGCTCTACGCGTATGCAGCACTTTTCTCCGTTCTTACTCGACCCACGGCAAGGTAACAAACAACGTCTCTCTCTCTCTCTCTCTAGTTTGATAGTGCATGGCAAAAATGTAATGATATTCTAGAAAACTATTGTATGAAGCTACTACGTGCGGGGTAACAGTGTTTCATTACTTTAAAAATGTGAGAGATATTTCCTGGAAGCGAATTTATGAATCGTACTATGATGAAGGCTTGGCTCATGAATATTAATTAGGGGACTTGACGTTCGGCCACTGATTGGCTCAAAAGGCAGACGCCTGTTAAGACTCTACCTGGTTTCAGTTCGCGTCACATTTATTTGTATAGCGCTTTTCACAATGTGAATCATTTCAAAGCAGCTTTACAGAAAACGGCACGCTTCAGATATTACAATCAAGAAGCCAGAAGTGACTGTGTGTGTTGGAAGGCATGTCTCACGTTGGACGTTGTATGAAAGTTACTAAGAGACGTTGTTGTTAATATTCATGAGATAGATATTGATGCAATTTAATTTCCTGGAACATTTGATTGGCAGTGGTACACACAGCTTTCCATATATCTTAACGGATTAAGACAATTATTTAAGACGGATAGCTAGACACACACCACCAGTCAAAAGTTTGGAATAATGAAGATATTTTAATGTTTTTTTTGATGTTTACTCTTATGTTTACCAAGAATGCATTTTTAAATAAAAAATACAGCAATACTGTAATATTGTGAAATATTATTACAATTTAAAATCACAGTTTTCTATGTGATATATGTTAAAATATCATTTATTTCGGTGATTTTCAGCATCATTACTCCAGTCTTCGATGTCACATGATCCTTTAGAAATAATCTTTCTTATTATTATCAGTGTTGAAAACAGCTTTTGCTGCTTATTATTTTTTTTTTATTATTATTTTTGTGGAAAATTTGATGCATGAGTAGAAAGTTCAATGAACAGCATTTCTTTGAAATAGAATATTAATATAAATATAAATAGCATTATATTATATTAATTCAATGCATCCGTGCTGAATAAAAGTATCTTAGAAATATCTTACTTTTAAATGGTTGCGTAAGAATCAGAATTTTTGAGGACAAAGCAAAAATGTATTTTGAAATTGGGCAAAAAGACAAATATGCAAGACTACAATTGCATAAACCATTGTGAGCATTATAATAAACATAAAACATAAACCTACTGATTTTAAGCTGTTGATTCTAAGCATAGAAACAATGTGGTTCAAGTAAAATAAAATAGGAAGGCCGACTCGATTATATAATTTTTTTGTTCGTACATTCATCACAAATCTATCTTTGCTTGCATAAGTTAGATATTTTAGCTCTTTGTTTTTCACCCTCAGTCAGTTCTCGGTGGACTCTCATCAGTCCGGTTCAAAAGTTCCTGTCCCGTTGACATCAGTCACCTGGACCACCTGGTGCTCACGGTTCGGGACCTGAACACAACCACGCACTTCTACTCCAAGGTTTTGGGGATGGAGGTCGTCACTTTTAAGGTAGAATGTCACTCAAAGCACACTGCAAACAATACCACACGGTGGCAGCAGAGTCTAAGTAATCCTGTCACTTCAGGGCGACCGTAAAGCTCTGAGTTTTGGAGAGCAGAAACTCAACCTGCATCAGGCTGGGAAGGAGTTTGAGCCCAAAGCCAAAACCCCGACACCGGGATCTGCTGACCTGTGCCTCATTACCAAAACCCCTCTGACAACCGTCGCTGCCCACCTCAAGGTGACTTACACAGGGAATTTGTTTGGAAATGGCCACAGAATGTTGAATTGCAATGAAAAACAAAATCACGCAACAGATCAGTTTATTAGTCTAATAAAAATGTTGCTAATTGAACAAATAACAGCTATTGATTTTTGACTTTTTATGCTTTATGCTTGATTATTAATTCTGCCATACAGTACCACAGAATATCCGCCACGTAATTCTCTGATTTGAAGGCATGCTTCATAATTAACTCAATATCTCACAAGCGAGAGTGCTGTTGTTTCTAATGCTTATTACAGGCATGTTTGAATTCAGTAAAACGACATGCAGTTCTATTGAAGTTCATACTGAGTAACTTACATTTGAGACTCAATATTGGCAGTTACTTCAAAGCCATGAATCATTAATCAGCTCCGAGGTGACAGACTTGTGATTAAAGCAACAACAAAAAAAAAGTATTTAAAAATTGGACAAAAAGACAAAGAAACAAGACGGTGTACTCAACGTATTTAAAGAAGGAATAAAGAACAATCCTATAAACCACTGTGAGCAATATAATACAATTGAAAAACTATAAAGAGCATAAACTTATTGACTTTGTTGTTGATTATAAGTATAGAAACAGTGTAGTTCAATTAAAAATAATAATACTAATAATTTATTAAAAAGTAGACATATACAAATAGTCTGCAAACGTAGGAAGACCAGCTTACATTTGAGAAACAATATTGCCAGTTATTTTGTCTATTTTTACAAAAAACAAAAAAAAAACTCAGCAATGCCAAAGAAAAATTATCAGAGGAATTGTTTCGAACGGTCTTTCCTGGTTTTGAACTCTGCCAATCAAAATCAGAATTGTTAAAGGGGTCATATGATGCTGCTAAAAAGAACATTATTTTGTGATGAGGTAGACATGTGGGGGCGCGTTTAAACGAGACGTTTTAGGTAGGCGTGGCTGACTCTTAACTTTTATAAAGAATATCTCTTTGGATTTGAGACTTTAGTCTTTGCAACTTTACAGATCTTCTTTATGCACCAAGAGCTTGTAACACTCCAAAGAGAAAGGAAAACTTGAAATCGCATCATATGACCCCTTTAAATAAAGTGAAGTTAATTATAATAAATTAAATTTGAAAGCGTATTTCTATAGATACCATTTTAAACATTACTAATGCCACCACACTAAAATACCCTGCATGTTTTGTGCAGTTCATTCTGAAAATAAAATGTGTAATTAAAACTACACACATACAGTACAGCAGTAAACGCATTTCGTAGAATTTCAATTCAAATTATAATTCATCCGGTTCCCTACTTTAATTTACACTAAAGAACTGACATGTAAAAGCATTCTCAATTGAGTTCTGCACGGCTCACAGATAAACCCTGAAGCATGCAGGTGCTGATATGCTGCTGTTGTGTTGCAGGCATGTGGAGTGACGATAGAGGAGGGTCCCGTGGACAGGACAGGCGCTGTGGGTCCCATCCGCTCCCTATATTTCCGTGACCCTGACAACAACTTGATTGAAGTCTCCAATTACCAGCAGTAGACAGCAGGGGCGCTGTGTCATTGCCTTAAGATGAAGATGAATATGTACTCAGATGCCTTCCTTGTGATGTTTTTAAATGTAATAAAAAAATAATAAAAAACATGCCAAGGTTGTTTTCACTTGTGCTTTCAGCTGGGCTAACATTCTCTTATTTTTATAACTTCTTTATGTGGCTGCCGCAATATCAAACCATGTTGGTCCAAGCACAGATCCTCTCGTACTGAAATGCATGATTTTAAATTGTAATTATGCTGTGGGGTAAATTAATTTGAAGCTGTTGTAGTCAAGACCACCTAATCTGAGACCAAAACAATTGTGTGTTGAGACCAAGACCAAGACCAGACCAGCATTGCTCAAATTCATCTAAAGGATCCACATTTACTGCCTGAGAAATGCCTTAGTTTTAATCATTAAATACAATAATAAGACACCTACAGAGTTGTTACCAATCAAATTAAATCTCTAACAAAAAAATAAAAAATATTTGCACTTACTTTTTATAACTTCTTTATGTGGCTGCCGCAATATCAAACTGTGTTGGTCCAAGCACAGATCCTCTCGTACTGAAATGCATGATTTTAAATTGTTGTTATGCTGTGGGGTAAATTCATTTGAAGCCATTACGATCTGGAAAACTCTGGATTCACTTAAGAAGCTCTTTTACCCAAAACCATTTTACCCGTTGGAATCGTATGTTTATTTGAGTTATGATTCCAAATTATAATATTTTAACTAACTTGCATGATATCTGAAAGATACTTACATTTATTAGAAACACTAAAAAACCCATCAGAGGAAGATTTTAACAGGGACATGAGTCCATTCACACTACTACAGAGTTTCACTCCAGTCTTAATCTGAATCAGCTAATCAAGATCTTGAGGATCACTATAAATAACGTTTGGAGCTTATTTTGTCCCGTTGTTCCTGGTTTCTCTTTTCCTGCATGTTTAGTTCCTCTGGGTTTCTGTGTGTGTTTTTGTTTGTTGCTTTAGTTACTCATTACCTTCACCTGTGTCTTAGTTGCTCATTTATTCTGTGTTTACACAGACCTGTGCTTCAGTCCTGTTTTGTCCGATCTCATCGTTGATTAGTGGTCTTTCTGTCGTTTTTCCACAGCTTGTGTTCAGCTCAGCTCAGCTCTTCAGATGCACTGTGTATGCACTCAAGTATTAGGAGAATGAAGAGTGTTTAATCACTGATCCAGAGCGAACATTTAAACTGTGTTATAAGTAAAAACAGTGAGACGTCTGTTTGCAACTATAGTGACCTTTATTTAAGATTCAATTACAGAGAAAATGTGTAATTCCAAGGGTAGCGCTTCATTTTACTGTCCTGTTCTGCATGTAATCACTGTTAAGTACATAGTTAGTTTTTACCCAGTTGTTCTAAATACTATGGACCTAACCATTTAATATATGCCTTTTATTAATTAATATTACTTTGGTAAATACACTGTATGTGCACCTACTGTAAAATAAAGTACAACCAATTTTGCACTTGAAATAAATGAGTTTGTATAGATATTTAAAGTCAGTGGTTTGCATGTGAGGTCATTCACTCACATTACAATTGATTTTTTAAAGACATAATGATACAATGCATACTTTGAATACACTGTAAGTGTATTTTTGAATAATATCAATCCATAAATCTGATTTGTGATGCATATTTCTCACCGTGTTTGGAGAACTGGTCCATTTCTGCATTTCTGTCAGCTGATGGAGTTTGGCTTCCTTGCCTTTGCTTAGTTTGGACTTGAAAGAATAATACCTTCAGTTAATATTCAGTAATAATGTTGGTTTGACTACACTAACACCATCAGATGAGAATAAAACTTCAATTGATATATGTTTTACAGCAAAATTAATAAATGTAACTGTGCTGAATAACAACACTATTGTCTTTTTTAAGAGATGCTTTTCAGCTGATTTAGATTTTTCTTCTCATATTTGAAGAAGTTTGATTTTTCTAGATTCTCAGTGGCTTTAGAATTTACTGTTTTACTGTGACTGTCAGCTTAATGACTCAATTCTATCAGCTCTATAAGAGTCTTATTTCAAGTAACTCTTATCTGCTTATCTGTTTGTTTTATTACATATGGAAAATTCTGGTCTCAAACAGAGGACAGTCGTTGTCCAGTTTGCAGCATTACTGCAGTGTTCGTTTCGTTTCCTCCTCATGATAAGACCAAGACTTAAGGCTCTTGCTCAACTATAAACACTCTGTCTGTGAATGTTTAGTTTTGCTTTTACTATTTCCCAAAATCCTCTTGGTCACACTTTATTTTAAGGTCTAGTTCTCACTATTAACAAACCATTGACTATGACTTTTGCCTCAAAAAACACCTAATTTGCTGCTTATTAATAGTTAGTAAGGTAGTTGTTAAGTTTAGGTATTGGCTAGGATTAGGGATGTAGAATATGGTCATGCAGAATATGAGATGTATAAGTACTAATAAACAAATAATATGTTAATAATAGGCATGCTAATAAACAACTAGTTAATAGTGAGAGTTGGTCCCTATACTGAAGTGTAACTATCATCTTTAATTCATGTTAGAGCACAACAGATTTCATGCTGAAACATTAACTTTCGTTTATGGGAGAAAATACAGTTTTTAGTTGTTCCACCAATAGATATCGTAAGCTTGTTTAATTATAGAAATATTTCCATAACTCATCAGTTAACAATTGTGATTAGGAATGCAGTTGTAATGTCAAATGACAAAAGACTGGACTATGAGAGTATAGTTTTCCCGTGAAGCTTAAACTTTCGGTTTCTTCTTCTTGGTATAACAATGAGTGGGACTTATGCAATCTTAGAATGACTTATGATATCTAATCAGTTTTTTTTATTGTTATATCTGGTACCACACATTACCACACTTTAAGTATTTGCTTTATCTTGACGTCAAATCTTAAAAGCAAACACTGCCCTACGTCAAAAGGCTTTGGAGAAATTGTAAAACTCAAATTTATTGGACTCCCTTCCCTCAAATCAGAGCTTCAGTCTATTTCTCAGGGTAGTTTGCCTAAGGTTATTTATTTGGTCATTTAACCCACTTAAACCATTCTCTGTGTTTACTGGATCAACGTTTTGATTCATTATCTTACTTTTTTTTTTTTTTTAAGATAATATATTAAGTGTTTCCGGCTTCCTTATGTTTAAGAGTGTCTTCGACATCCTCATAACTGGCTGCTGACTGTGTGACCTTTTCACATGCGACACTGTTTTTTTTTTGTAAAATGTAAACCATTAACCAACACGCTTCTGACAGCATATGAAAAACACATTTCTGTATATAACCAGAAAAAAAAACCCAGTTTATATTCCATTCTATTTGTCTAAGAATGTGAGAAAACGACTCCTGATAATTACTTTATATAACAGACAAAAATATGATGTGGTATTTGACACTATTGTGAAACCAAAATCCCCTATATGCATCTTTCTATTGTTTCTGGTTTCTTTCCAAGGAAGTTACAACATACAAAGACATACCTTTAGTTCACAACTGATCACATTCATCAATAGACGATCACAGGCATCATGTAACTCCAAACTGGAATTACCTATAACCTGCGCCAATTACAGAAAGCTGTGCCATTGATGACACATCAAAAAGCAAAGTTTATCGCACTCATAGTCAGGTAAGCCGAAACTGCCGAGCACCCCTAGGAAGCACACTCTTGAGTGTTCAACAATGCACTGTGCATGTGTCACCAGGAACAATGGTGGAAATTCTGCAAACGTATACATTTTTAGCTGTTATTTCCCTCAAAAACACTTTGAGAAAGTGTCTTGGGAGAAGTTTCTTCTACAGTATGTGGTATAGAGATACACTGGCCTACTAACCGACCGTAAAGGCATCTTTTGTTCAGCTAACCCATTATCCTCAACCACTTTCCTAATAAGTAATAATTTAGTATCCAAAGTAAACTTTTTACAGGAACAATATTCCAGAAACAACCTGGCACTGAGTGCCTTTCTTGAAAGCGCATGACTCATTTCTTTCAAGTATTTAACAACAACCTTGAACTTCAAGCTCGCCACTGTCCTCCACTGCTGGATTAATATAAAACAGAGGATTTCTGTCGATTCAGCTGTTTCGACATTGAAGGGCACCATAATAGGAAAATATCAACTCCCCAAATATTTTAGCCTTGTTGGCGTTTGTCTCTTCATACGTGGAATGGAGGATGAAACACTGAGACTGACTTCTTTTACCCCCAACATTTAATTGAAATTCATCTATTGACGCTCCAAATATAGGCTACATTAATACATAAAATCTTACAAACACAATATTTAGTTTGAACTCAGGAGACAAGTTGTGATGCAAATCGAAGAACAGCAGACACACTTTGGGCAAAAGCATTCCCTATTACCCTTAACAGTATACAGATGTTTAATTTGAAGATATATGATACCACTTTAATATGCTGATTTGGTCTGGCCAGAGGAGAACTGGACACTGACTGAGCCTGGTTTCTTCCAAGGTTTTTTCTCCATTTTCTGTCACTGATGGAGTTTCGGTTCCTTGCCACTGTCACCTTTGGCTTGTTTATTTGGGGACGCTTGACTGATTACACAGACACCATTGAAAGAGAGCTGAACTGGATGATGACATCACTGAATCATGAACTAACTTTAGCTGGAAACATGACTAATATGTATTGCATAAAGCGCTATACAAATGAAGGTGACTTGACTATTCTCACTATTAACTAGTTGCTTATTAGCATGCCTATTGTTAACATATTGGCTGTTTATTAGTATTTATAAAGCACATATTCTGCATGACCATATTCTACACCCCTAATCCTACCAAGCAGCATATTAGGAGTTTATTGAGGCAAAAGTCCTACACTCTGAAAAATGGGTTGTTTCAACCCAACTTTGGGTCAAATATGGACTAACCCAACTTTTGGGTTAAACATTTAATGTAAAAATGTAACCCAACAGCTGGGTTGGTCCATATTTGACCCAAAGTTGGGCTGAAAAACCCCCAGCATTATTTAGAGTGTAGTTAATGATTTGTTAATAGCAAGAATTGGACCTAAGAATATGCCACTTAATCAAAAATGGAGTTCCTGAAAACATGGCAACTAGAGTGACCAAAATGTTGATATTTTATTTTCCAAATTAAAGTACCAATATTACTGTATATCTAGTACTATCATTTGGAGATATCTATTATGGATTTATAGTTCAATTAAAAAAGGCACATTTATAGTCCCCATGACTAAAAAAAAGGATAGATCACTGATACTGAACTTAGTCACAATTTAATTACTTGTAACTCTTTTTAGTGTCAAATGTAAATTAGTTATATTTTTAAATAAATGTTTCATTGGTATACAAGCTCCTACCATGTCCCTAATCATCATTTCATTTTGATGGGTGTCATAGACCTAATGTTTTTTTTTTTTTTACTTTTATTGAAGTTAAAATCTCAACTCTCATCTTTTCTGTGAAAATGTAAAATTTGTCATGTACTTTCTATTGACATTTCAAATTCTATTGAATTATCTACCTTTCAGGCACCATTTTTTGCCATCATCAATGTCTTTTTGACATTAATCCCTAAATAATTTTTGAATGGAAAATCAAGCAGCAATGGCTTAACCTGCTGATCTCAGAAACACAGGACACAATCTCCAAGTAGCTGTCAAAGCTGGTTTGAACTTGCCAAAAATAACAAACACTTGGAGTTGTATTAATATCTACTCTCAGTTTGTAGCAATACATGTTTGATTGTTGTAATTTACTCCATTAATGTTTAACATTTTGCAGTTAAAATGCTCCACTACACTGCATACAATGTAAACCTACAGTAATACAGACTCTTTGACTAATATAACTACATATAAATATATAGTTCAGTCATGAAACTCTAGATGGCGCAGGCAACGGGTTGTTAACGTAACTTATTATATTCAGAGAGTTAAACGACTTGGCACAAGCTGATTGGTTCATGCTGCATATGCAGCCATTGAGCTTACTGCCTTGCATCTATATGGCTGGCTAACATTCACTAGAGATTCCTGCAGTGCGCTTTCAGAGTTTCTCTGAAACCCTCCACCTTCCCCAGCTCCACCTGTATAGATCTGCTATGGGTTATTTTATATGCTATTTGTGCAGCAGCAGTATGTCTTAAATACTCATGGCACCGTATCGCCATATGCATTGGCAGTAGCAAGTTCCTGTACTTGCTTGCAGCAGCAGCAATAATCTACAACTACAGCAATAACCACCAGCAGAAGCAATTCAGCAGCAGCAGCAGCAGCAGCGTAGCAGATCTATTCCGCCAAGACCAAATACATTAACATTGTCATATCCATCACCATTCTAAAATCTTCAGAGAGTTGTCATCCAGGGTGCGAACTACGGGGGAGCTAGGGGGAGCTCGGCTCTTAAAAAGTGACGTGACATGTGGCCAAGTATGGTGACCCATACTCGGAATTAGTGCTCTGCATTTAACCCATCCAAAGTGCACACACACAGCAGTGAACACACACACACCGTGAACACACACAGCAGTGGGCAGGCATTTTTTGCTGCGGCGCCCGGGGAGCAGTTGGGGGTTCGGTGCCTTGCTCAAGGGGTGCAAATTCCACTCCATTTAGTACGTTAACTCAAAGATTCGTAGAAAAAATATAAACGTTGGACTCTGTGGTCAATTCTGTGTTAAGGTAAGGCATGTTATTCGCAATTATGTGTTGTGGCTGGGTTGTTATAGGTCTCCGTGACTCTCGATGTCTTAGGCCTAATTGAACGGAGGAATTATGGTATTCTTCTGTAGCCTGACGTTAACCGTTGTTCATGTGAACTCAAAGACAGCCTGATGCTTTGTTTATAGACTATTTGTGGGAGGCTGTTTGTTGTTTCACCTATCAATTTGTGTCGATAAAGTATAATAGGGTAAATCCTGTATAGTGATTTATCCTATATAGTGGTTGCATAAAGCAAGTAGTGCATACACTTGTAGCTGTTATGTATCTGTATAAGTCATTGTAAGCACGCACTAGGGCACAACCCCCCCCGCCCCCCACACCCCGTTATAAATAAAAAAAGGTGGGCTCCCCCAAAGTCCACGGTATAGTTCGAACACTGGTCATATCCATCACCGTGCTAAAAACTTTGTCATTTGTCATGATTAAATTACTTTTATGGAAGATGATGAAAATGGCCGAACTCTTTTCCTTTTCCTTTCTATATTCTCAGTGAAATAAACAGACATCATCATGTATAGCAATACAATTTCATCTTTATTGAGTTTCAGTCCAAACAGTCCAAACAAGATGTTACATAATTGAATCAGAAGTCATTCACGAAGATTCCATTATAGAATATTTAAAAAGAGCTTCCTAGAGAAAAAAACATTTATATTTACAAACAAACCTTTAGGCATTTTGAGAAATATTGTTAATAAATATTGCAAAAACTCATTTGAAAACAGACACAGCAGTAAATGAGACAGTTCTACAGTATATACATCGGTAGAGAGAGAGAGTGTAACATGTTTGAGTAGTACTTCTAACTAATGAATTAAATAAATCCTACAAGACGTTGAAAAAAAACAAAAAACAAGACATTATTGGTGCCGTAATAAAGCAGCATGCTGTTTACTGCAGCTGAGCCAGCAGTGGTTTACAGTCATCTAAATGGTCCAGGCCTTCGACCGCTTCGATCAGCCTCTCCACCCTATCGTTGGACAGAACTGCGCCTGCATTGCTGCGGAACTTCTTCTGAAGGCTTTCCTGGCTAAGTGGATTCCTCCAGTGACCATAGAAGGTGTCACAGCGCCCTCGCAGGACGTCTCCACTTACCAAGGTGACCTCCACCTCACCGTACATGATATTGAAATTGGCCGGGTTGTCGTGGGGGTGCTCCACACGGACACGGGAGAGGAGCGCGAGGAGCTCGGGCCGCTGGAGGGCCTCCGGATGGAAGGACTGCACCGTGACTTCTCCATCCAGCAGAGCGGTGCAGGCATTGAAAAACATAAGGTAAACATACATAAATCTATAAATTGCTCAACTATGTAAAAACATGAAAAAAACTAAAAAAAACTTTACCTGTAGGGTTGAAAGCATTTTGTCAATTTTTGATCAGGATCTGGATGTGAATTGAAATCTTTTGCCGTTGATGTAAAGTTGAAGAAATGTTGTCGTCTTCGCTCTATCTCAATGTAGAAATTAAATGATTGAAGGTAGAGGATGCTGATGTGCTAGAGTCATGGTGTGTCCACCTTTATATAGTACTGGACCACAAAAGACAATGATACACCCACGGAACCCACAGAAGAACCCGGGGTGGATTTTCCAAAGCATTGTTACTTTTAGATTAATAGGTGGGATTTTTCAGCAGGAAACAAGCTGTCTTATTGGATTGGTCAGTGACGTACGTCATCATTGATGAGGACATGGGTTGGTTGACATCACTGTAACTCCTCCCAGCTCCTTTGAGAATGCTTCTATAAACTTAAAGCATTCTTCACAAGCATCTCAATACTTCATTACAGATCAAGCATCTTCACTAGGTAAGTTTCTTATTTCTGTAATATTTTTCTCATATTATAAATAAACACAATAAATTTAAGCAACATAAATATACAGATCAACACTAATGTTTTACTGCCCATTCAGTTTTGATTGAGTTTAATATTTGTATATATTGGCACATTTGTTTGTATATATATTATTAAAAAATATATTTTATATAATATGATATTGAAATTGGCCGGGTTGTCGTGGGGGTGCTCCACACGGACACGGGAGAGGAGCGCGAGGAGCTCGGGCCGCTGGAGGGCCTCCGGATGGAAGGACTGCACCGTGACTTCTCCATCCAGCAGAGCGGTGCAGGCATTGAACTGGAAGGAGTGGCGTGCCTGGTGCTCCGTCTCCGGGAATGGGCGGTTGATGTACTTGGACAGCGGCACCCGAAGCAGGATTTCCTGCACCAGGTTTGGAGAAACGCTGCCTCCTTTTAGACCAACCAGGGTCTTGTGCACGACAGCGGCGGCATCGGCGATCCAGTGCATGCCGAGGTGTGCGGGAAAGCGCTTGAACGCGATGTCTTGCGTCTCTATGAGGAAGCTGTGCTCATGCTCCTCCAGGGAAGCAATGGGGTTCGGTGCGTAGTCTTCGTAGAATGCACTGAATCCGGCGACCCCGGGTACTGCATCCAGCACTAGAGGACTTGCCTCCAACCCACGGGATGCCAGCAGGGCTGCTTCGAGACCCAGGCGCGAGGCGTTACCAATGTGGAGAGGTTTGGACTGCGTTGCTGCATTAGCCATTGGTGCACCTGCCAAAGATGCAGCGATGGCCAAGGCATTACTGCACTGATTGCGATCCAGAGAGAGGAGGCGAGCACAGGCCGCTGCGCTGCCCATAGTGCCCACCACGCTGGGAGGATGAAACCTGATGGGGAAGACAAAGAAAGAGTCATTATTTCACCAGCTTGGATGAAACCAGCTCTCCACAACTGTGCTAGAGTGCTCTCGCCTAAAGCTTAGATTGTTCTTAATTTGGGGGGCAGCCGAACACATGCTTTTCAAAGTATACTCCATTGGGAGTTTTGTTTGTGTCCAGTGTCCAAAAGTTTTGTATTTGCAATTAAATATGTATTTACACTTGTTCAAACTAGAGTTGTGAGCTTTTCTTAATCCTGTCACCAAGTGCTGGTCAATACAGGTTTCTATTGTTGTTACATCTCCAGTAGTTTGTAGGGGCCTCGTTTATAAATGTTGCATACAAACCATCCTACATTTGATCTTGCAATCATTAATCTTGCATGAATGTTGGTGTGGATGTTAGTTATGGTTTAGAAATGAGGCCCCAGGTCTGTAATTATGGCTCTGTTCCTCCTTCAAAACGAGTATATCTAATATTTACACTCATTTTTTATTGTTTGCAGTGCGAAAACCGCGTAAAAGTCTGAATATTAATAGCAAATCCAATTAGATTCAATCACCTTCTGACATTATTCCAGAACTCAAGTGGATTCTGTTTTCACAGCACTCAGGAAATAACAAATTATAAGTGTTTAACTATATTCTCAGAGCACAAACAGAACTGCTCTGCATAAACAGCTGTATGAAGGAGCTTTGACAATTTTCACATGGCATCTGCGATGCTTCGACCCACCCAGCTGCGTGTGCTTTACCTCACAGAATACTAACGCTGTTATCCAGGCTGTGCTGTACTTAGACATGCAATTATTGCTCTCTTTAGTTGAGACAAAGAAATTAACTCTAACCTCTTAGGGATGTTGTGAGCCTCGTTGGAGAATCTCATCAGCCAACCTTGGATTTCGATGCCCACATTGAAAGCGGTTAGAATGTCAAGCCCACTTGGTTTGCTGTTGTTGTGGAACATGTCGCTTATAGCCAGGAGGGCAGGCAGTACTGCTCCAGAGGGGTGGGTCGCGGGATGCCAAGTGTCGTCAAAGTCCATCGAATGAGCCTGTGAAAAACCAACATGTCAGTCATGTTCTAGAGTGTCTTTCTGTTTCTACATATCGGCATTCATGTCTCATTGCCATGTCATTGCCTTCTCTAGCATAGCCAAAACATTAGAGGGGAAAAGGAAAATCTTGTGCATGGCTGCTGGTAGTATGAGCAAGACCCAATAAAACAGCCTGTCTAGTTTCTATTTGAAACACTTCCTGGAGCGTTATTAAACATGCTCAGTTTAGAGGGTTCGCAGCAGACTTTCCTACAACACCATGGATGTTTCTGTACTCAGTGAAAGTTCTACAGTGCTGAGGTTTCATCATTTGAGTGATTTTTTCACATTACCGCATTTAGCTGCCAAAAATGGCGATGAATGTTGCAAAACAAGTTTATAATTAATGCTTCATTGACTGTCTTGGCTGGATGCTAATTTCAAGACTTGCAGAACAGGACTTTCTGGAGAAACACTAAGAATGTGACCAGGATGTTGAATCACACATTCAGAATAAGCTGAACTAGGAAATTCAATTACAACTCAATGCACGTGATGACACTTACTGCTACTCCATTGACAAATGCTGCGAGGGTTGGAGAGAGCTTCACGCCTTGGCGCCCATAGACGAAGCTGACGTCATCAGGAGCGTACATGTGCTTGAGGAAAAAGATAAATGACTCATTCACATATCAACATACCAGAAATGGCCAACATTACTGCTCAAACATAGACATTGTTTGCACACCATTGATACTGGTTACACAGACATGCTGAACTATGTCCAGGGAGGAATTGTATTCTGTAAAATCATGACTTCACTCATTTCTGCTGGAAAAATGGTGTCTCTTAATGATGGAAAAACACAGGTTGTTTACTATTTACTATTGGCGCCATGCTCTACCTGGCAATGCTGAAGGGCAAGTTCAAACACATCAGTGGTGCTTCCCAAAAGCCCAACGCCGATGCTGTCCAGAACCATGCGTTTGCTGCGCTGCAGCACGGTTGGTGACAGATGCCTTGGCTGGATGCTCTGAATGAACCTGCCAAAACTGCTGGTCACTGTTTCCTCAGGGGCAGGACGCTCCGCCACTAACAACAGACGAGAGACAGTGTAAATGAACACTCAAACACTTGACATTGCCGGATAGCACCCATCCTTCTAAGTGCCAGCGACTATTCTAGATTAGTCAATTAGATATTCTGTATAAAAGTTTAGCTAAATTCCAGACCCTTACAAAAGCCTAGACTTTCACTTCTTTACTTTTCCATCAAGAGTTAACAAACATCCATTAACTGACAATAAGGCGTTGACAGTAGAGCTTGCTCACCGTCTAGTGCAGACTTATGGAGTCCTCGAGCAGCAGAAATAGCAGAAAGGTATCTGGTGGATCTCTGTGTACAAACATTTATGTTTGAGTGACTCAGCCGGACATACAGTATACAAAGTTAGTATACACTATATGTTTTGTTCACTTTTGTACCAGTTTAAAAAGCCTAAAAACACAGCTAAAAAGTCAAGTTTTATTATGTAATTACAGTTTTTCCTTGTAGGAAACAACCTCAAAAACAGTTATTGTAAATAGTTTCGATAATAAATAGTTTCAATGAGACACACACAAAAAATAAAAATAAAATAAATATATATATATATATATATATATATATAACAGTATTATGCTTTATCTATTTATTTAGAAATACGTGCTTCATTGTGAGTCTAAGAATAAATCAATTTGGTTACATTTGAATGTTTTTACAAATGATTAAGCTGAGCTTGACTGCACTGGTAAGCAGCAAACTCGGAGACGCAGCCTCTGTCTATTTTATCGCTTTCAGTTTTTCCTCTAGAGACAGCTGTACCACAGACTCGTGGATTTCCTCATTAGGAGGAGAGAGTTTGAGCTGTGAATACAGAGTGTGGGTTGTTGTGTAAGCGCATTTCAACATGAAGAAAACCTAAAATACTTGTGTTAAACTTATCCAAAGAAGCAAATGAACGGTAAGGTAAGATGAATAGGCCTATGTTTTAATCTGTTTCCAATAGAGGTTTAGACCAAACAAGTCACTTTGGTTTACTTTTTTTCCCGCAAGTAGGGGAAAAATACTTCAAGTTCAGTATTTACATTTTAAATGGGTTTAAATTGGTGTTTAAAAGAAACATAAATGTACAAAACACCATTAACATTTCACTGTTCAGTGGGTGTATCATATGTTAAAAACATACTGAAAAGTTGACATAAAAGTCTGCTCAAACTTACTGTAAGTTTATCCTCAAGTCTTGTCTATGTTGACTCCTGTCTGCTGGTTGTTTGAGATGAAACAGATTAAATCTCTGCAGTTGTCAGTGTACTGCCACCTAGACTGTAATAGTATCATTGCTCAGCTAAGATCGAGTCTTCAGAAATCTGTGTTAGAAAAGTGCCTAAAGGCTAAAACATCCATTCTGTGAAAAGTGTTTGACTCCTGCTCAGCTGTTTGCTGAACCAGACACCTGTGTCACTTACCTACGGAGGGGAGGGAGGATATGAATCTAAACACACCCATGAATAGGCTGTTTAGTGCACACTCACAATATGAGAAGTCTTTTGGCACATAGAGGCACTTTTTTTTTATTTTTACACGGCTTTGACAAAACTGTGAGGGTGTTTAATGGTCCTTTTTAATAAATAAAAATTGTTTGTACACATGCTTGTAGAAGTATGTATATAACCACCACTAAAAGTGCAGAATATTTTATCTGGTCGATATTGGTCACACTTTTGTTGGGGACCAATTCTCACTATTAGCTGTTTACTACAACGTTTGACTCAATAAATTCCTAATTTGCTGCTTATTAATAGTTAGTAAAGTAGTTGATGAGATTGTTTAGGTATGGGGAAGGGTTAAGGGATCTAAAATATGGTCATGCAGAATAAAGCATTAATATGTGCTTTATACGCACTAATAAACCGCTAATGTACTAGTAATATGCATGATAATAAACAACTTGTTAACAGTGAGAACTGGTCCCTAAACTAAAGTGTTACCCTGTTATTAATCAGTTATAAGTTACTTTTATATCAACTAATTAAGGCTGATCAAACCATTATTATTGATTATCAGATGACTTGACTGATCAAAGTATTGTATAACCACAAATGTTTGAGTATTTACTCTTTATCATCACTTCCTGTTTACACAACTTAATCTTATCAGCAGAAAGCTAAATTTAAAGGGAAGTTCATGGCATCAGCAAGTGGCTTTCCGGCAAGTTTTTATGGAGAGCCGGGTGTGCTTGGGCTGCTGGCCAATGGCATCAGTGCTTTCCTTGTCCTACTGCAGAACTTCCATGGGGCCAGGACTGGCGTTCCTGCAGAGGGAGTGGAAAACATACTAGCAGGTCTCATTGTGCTTTTTTTTTTTGCCATTTTAATTGAACAAACACACTTGCAAGAATCATACATTTATATACTGATATAGAAAATAATAGCAACCTATTTGCATTCATGCTAGTTCAGTGCAGTGCACCTACATCATGCATCCTTTTCTGTGCATCTTGTGTTCATTTATACAGGTGTTCATCTCATTCTAATTGGTGGAGTGTGTCAGCTTGTGGCAGGCTTCCTGTCTTTTCGAAAATATGACCATCTGAGTGGGACGTCATTTGTAGGATATGCAGCACTATGGGCAAGCTATGGGGCCACAAGAATTTTCCTAGGTGCCAACCAACAAAGTCCAAACCTATTCAATGAATCCGCAATGATAAACAGCACATTTCAAGATCTGTTCACAAACACTAGCATCAATAAAACTGACATGTTCATCAAGGAGTCTGCCATAGCTGGGCTGGTGCCTTACATCCTGCTTTCCTTTCTACTGGCCTTCTGTTCAGCAACCGTAAACTACATCATGCCCTTTGTGTTTGGGGCCATCACCCTCACGCTGATATTTGAGGCTGTGGGTCTGGTGGCAGGGTGGGCTCTGGTGGTTTCTGGGGTTCTGGAGCTACTAATCCTGCTCTTTGCCATATATGGCTCATCAGCACTGCTAATCAAGGGACTGGCCCAACGCTATGTGCTAAAGGGTTTTGGAAACCCTCTCTTCAACGTGCTGCTCCTAGGAACCACCAATGCCAGTAGCTCCCAAAGCTTGGGCCAAGAGAAGAAGAAGAACACGAAATATGCCGAACCGATGGCCTTGGGATTCTTCTGCGACACCGTCTCACCATTTATCTTTGCTTTCTATGCCTTTAACTACTTCCCGTCACTCTCAGTAGCTGCCATCTGGATAACCATCAATTCTGCTGCTCAGCTTTTGTCTAGCTATTACGCATACATGCGTCAAGACTGCTACCATGCAACCAAGTTTGGCCTGCACTGCGTGTTTTGGTTGGTGAAGACCTGGGAAGAGCATGTGGTGTCTGTAACCATCAGCCGGGCCGAAGCTGGTGAAGTAAGGCACGCCATGGTTGGCAACTGGTTCTTCGTGTCCGCCGCCTTGGTGATCTGTATCGCAAGTCTAAACAAAGACACTCTTGAGCTAGTTCACAATGCATTTTTTGTCCTGGTGACCATATCAACCATCTCTCAGATTCCCATTGAGAGGTACTACATCTTTTTTGGAGTGACCTGCTCCCTCTTCACTCTCCTGTCCTACTATGGCACCTTTGCACGCCTCATCAACACCATTGCCGAGAAGTCCTTGATCCCAGTTGGACCCCAGCTTGTCTCCACCGAATCCCTGCAGAAATATCTCAGTTACCTCAAGAGATCCAAACAGCATGAGCCTGAAGATAAAGGTGCACAGCTCCCCGATGCTTTGTTTTATCTTTGCAATGGAGTGGCTGCACTCTCAGCCATTCACAGCAGTCAGCTCGGCCTGGCGTTTTTCGACCTAACCGTTCCCTGGGTGCTCATCCCAGGAGCCATCATCCAGGCCTACGTCAGTCGACTACAGGTACAAGGTGGCCAGAGATTCGGCTCTGTTGTTCCCTCCTTTTATGTGGCTATTTGGGCAACTTGGAGCTGGTTTAGGTTTGCAGGTATGAAAATGTACAAATTCATAGATAGAATTAAAAAAAATACTTGGCTACAATTTTGGGTAGAAATCTAAGATGTATTTTTCCTGCAGGACACCGTTTGGAAATATCCACAGAGTCAGCGAATGGATTTGCAGCTGGGGCAATAGCATTCCTGGTCATCAATGCTTTCTTGATTCTAGTTGGTAGGTTTGTTTACAAATACATAAAATAGACTCTCACAACTGACTCCTGCTTTTAAAGCATTGCAAATTGGACTCTTTCTTTCTTTCTTTCTTTCTGTACAGCGGCCTACAGCAATCTTGTTCTCCTGGCATTGACCACAACCATGGAGGTCATCATAGTTTGTTTTCTCCTCTCTACTCTTGGGAGACTGCCCTATCAGCTAGAAGGTACTGTGCAGAAATACATTTTGTAAGAAAACATATTGTGAAAAATAAAGATGAAATAATGTGTAAAACTTACCTCACATTTTCTTGAAACTCTTTCTTTAGTTGCCATGCTAGCAATTTTCGCCATCATATGTTTGTATGGCATGCTAGCATCCCTTGTGAACAGTATCTTCTCCAAGACCCTGATACCAGTTGGACCTTCCCTTATCAAGGTATTAGTTTTATCTATGATCACAAAATGCTTAAATCATGTCACTGTTAGACAAAAACGTCCTACTGACTAACTGATCTTCTTTATCCAAGGACAAGAAAAAGAAGGAATCTGAAACCACATATCCATGTTATGTAGCAAACTCTCGGGAAACCAGTGGACTCCTCAAGATTGCCAAATCATTGGAAAACAATGGAGTGTGTGGCATCCCTACAGATACTGTCTACGCCTTGGCTGCTTCATGCAAGAACCCCAGTGCAATCGAGAAGATCTACTCTATCAAAGTACATGCCAGCAGACAAGCTATGAAACATAATATTCTTTTACAAATCAACAAATGCCTATGCTCTTTGTCCCCTGACCCACAAACTTTTATCTCTGGTAGGATCGTCCTGCAGAGAAGCCAATTTGCATCTGTATCTCAAGTGTGGAGCAGCTTGTGGCCGCCAAGCCTCCTTTCAGCCCTCTGCTCTGGGAGTTCATGAGAAACGTCTACCCCGGAGGCATCAGTTGCATTGTTCCCAAGGGCGATTGGCTCCTCAAACTCGGTAAGGTTATTAACAAGATACAGCGTTTTGTATTTGCACCCAACTCTTTTATCGAACTTGGAACAATCACCAAACCAAATGAAAACTATACTGAGTGAAATTTGTGATTCCCTATCATCTCCAGTCATTTTCACTGGTCATATTGTTCGCAGGTGTGGGTCCTGCATATGATCGTGTGGGGACCAGAGATAGCATTATGATTAGAGTACCTGACCACACTGCTACTGCTCACCTGTGTGAATTCACCGGCCCATTGGCCATTACATCAGCCAATCCCAGCGGAGAAGCTGACAGTACCCATCACGACATGGTCATCAAGTAAGTTTATAAAGACACCAAAAAGGGCTGCAAGTGAATATGAACTCTGCCAAACAAATGCACTGTATGTGAAATTATATTAAATAGACAAGGGTTTATTGATGGTTTTAAAGGCTGAGATTTTACATAATCCAGGCTGTTGTTACCTTCAAAAAACTTGATCAAGAACAAACCACAACACTCTATTGTTAGGCGCACTGATTCATTCACTTAATTAAAGCAGA